CGTCTACACTAACAGCTGTAACAGCTGGTTTGGACTTTTCTGATAGTTAGTTTTTATATAAATATTATTTAAATAGGTAAAATTTCAAGCCTTTGACGTCATTTGTTTATGTTTCATACCGTTTCTGTTCTAATATCCGTAATACTGGAAAAGCAAGATACAGACGTTTCCCCGAAATTCACGATTCATTAATTCATGTTCCAAACACATTTTCGGAACAGTGTCTTTCTGGGCAGTTCCTAACCGTGTGCGTTGATTCGAAGCAGTGACTTAATCTCGCATTCTTTCAAAATACTGTCTTTTGTAGCAATGCCTAGCAGTACCTCTCCATGCAAATAGTTACGGAGATATGCATTACTGTTGCATTCCAAAATTAATTATTTATTTGGAGCAGTGCCTTACGGAGTTATGATTTTCTGAACAATGTCACAACAATGTGATTTGTCTTGTTAAATGTTATTAATAACTGAAGGGTTTTCAAATCTATAATTTTAACTGTAAAACATAAAATACCACACTAATGTGATAGTTATCGCCTCAGGCACGATCTAACATCATTCCACTAACTGGGCATGCGTACTGCTCAATTTACGACTTTGGCGCAGTCTGGTGGCGGTAATTGCAAATACTGATTGGATCGCATGAGGCCTCATTCCCGCCATTACGCGTAGTTCGGTGGCGATCACGTGACTTGTATCAGCTGTTTCGCCACCAGGTATTCCAACGTAACGGGAAGATAAACACTAGTAGTTACCATCGAATAACTGTGTTTAGTTTATCAAGGTTGGATTTGTTGTTCTGTGTACAATGGTGCTATAGATTTAAGACATATTTGCGATCAAGAGGGTTAAAATTAAATTGCCTTTGACTTGGGATTATTTACTATGAGTTTCCGATTTGGTTTAGTACCGAAGTATTTTTTACTCATTATACTCATAATTAATTATACCAAAAATTTAGAAAACAATATGTTTGGTGCGGTTACAATTGTAGTAAAATATTTTTTTTTTAGTAGATTCAAACAAAAGACAATACATCTATGTTAACAATTCATTTATTGGATTGTAAGACGAATTATTGATTACAGAAAATTGCCTTGTGGATAAAGTGAATAGTTATAAGGCAAATGCTATAGTCGTCATGATAATATGAGTTCATTCAGGTAATAACCCTTTATTAAAGAAACAAGTATATGATAGTTTCATACTTAATCATACATAGGCATTCTTTGTCCATATAATCTAAAGTTGTATGTATTAAGTAGTTTAAAACTAGAAATATGTTATTCAAAATTTGCTTTTTGGATAGAATATGTTGATTCAAACACAGTTTTAATTTTACACTCAAGCCAAACTATAAAGTCAACTTAGCATACCATCAGTTACGTCTCCAGATAATACAGATAATATAGAAATAGAACTGTATTGGCTCACTATATGGTTTACAACAAAACTAGCTCCAAAATATATATTTCGTCTGCATCAACATCCAAAACCAAATTAATCAAACAAAGTTAAGAATAAATTAGTGTATTAAAGTACCTAGTTACTCCACATAGTACTGCACGATTGTAATTGCTTTGCAGATCCATTTGTAGTGACATCGCATGTAGCAGACGATTGGAATCATAACTTTTACAGACATTGGACGATTGCATTTATTGTTTATACTCGATTATTCTTATGAGGTGTAGACACGCAATTGCGCCCACTTTAATACCGGGGAAATGTGAGTTGCGCCTTCCAAAGCAGCCAGTCCTTACAGACTTATGTTTAATGCTACTAGGTTCCTATTACTAAATTTGTGATACTCTTTCTAACTGTTATTTACTAATGATCAAGAGTTGGTGAAAATGTAAATAACTTGCTTGGTTAAATTTGTACATGTTGTATTACAATTACAATATTAATCGAACAAAGTTTTGCGGTTCAGATTCTATTGTCAAGTGTGAAATTGCTCAAACATTGATATACGCGATTTAGTTCTTAAACCCATACAAACCATGACAGTAAAACGGTTCAGTATTCTTAAAAGACTAGAGAACCCGTGCGGCTCAATGAGCCGCATAGTATGAAACATAACGCCGAAAAAAAACGTTATGCTTAAAGTCGAGTAATTCCAGTTACATCTTAGAGTTGTTTAAACAATTGTTAGAAACTAATTTTAAATATCTCTATTTGCGTCGTCAAGGTTCACCGACATTATTTCTGCTCTAGGTTTTAACTGATAACTTCTAATGAATGCTAAACGATCTGCTTCAATTCGAGTTAACATATTGCAACAAAGTTTGTCCAGCATTGAGAATTGAAGACAACTTTTGCGTCACTGATAACCTGTGTTAATTAATTTAACTTGGGTTATTTTATTTCTTTTATTTTTGAGAAATCCCCCTAAACTAACGAATTTTCACCGTAGAGAATCCTGAAAAGTGGGGTGATATCAACCATTTTATGTGCTCCATTAAAACATAAACTCTGGGTTACCAACTGGGCAGCCATAATCTGCTTTGAATAGGCTAAAGCAGCAACACCATTGAACATTGGTTAACGTATTTTAACGTGTTATCTGTCAGTCACAGTATATGCCCCGAATCAGAAATTTCTCACGTTGTTCAATGGAATTTATCTTAACTTAATACCTGTCCCAAAGTTTTGAAAGTATGCTTTCATTTATCGAAAAGTTGGATAACTCTTGTAGCTATAAGATATTCGGATAGAAATTATCATTTTCTCTTTTTGAGCAGCGTGCAGCTACTCGATCGTTGAATACATGAACACTAATTCCTTCACTTATGTTTGGTTTAATATTGCCACTAAAACTTTCAATAGCAATTGAGTTTTTGAAAATTCTTATTTTTGACTTGAAATGTCTGGATTGTGTTGGTGAATTTAGTCAAAATACTCTGTATAAGTTTGTCCGAGGAACTGGCAACATATCCTTGAAGTAAACAATCCAATTGCGTTTTTCTCAATTAGAGCGAGATATACAACAGTTTACAATAAAAACATAAGGTCCGCCAAGATTTGGTATAATCTTACTACTTGAACTTATCATAAGCAAGGCATTATTATAATGTCTACTAAATGTTTTGAAATATCTCAATCTGTCAGTGTCAGAAGTAAACATATCTTGCATGCATTCAATTTATCTGACATTAGGCAAGTTTACTTTACCACCGTGGCAACACTATGTGCTTCATATATTTTTTTCACTTTCAAAGTAAATTGCATAGCAGAACTGGCAAATATTATTCATCTCACCAAGTGAATGTGGTGTATCTGGATGGGTATCTGTTAGACCAGGCCTCTCTTTTTCTACTCTCCTCATACGCATAAGATATCTTACTATTAATTGTCTCCTCCTCCCGTTTTCAATATTTCTTCTTTGAACTTGAGGCATTTTCTGTTCTTCCAACAAAACTGATTAACTGTTTAACTTGGTCTTAACCTACTGAATATTGCAAACATTAATATTTACTCACAAAAAGCTAATGAGTCTTTTTATAAACAGCTGTTTTTTGTTTTTAAATTTTTTCTATGTATTTCTTATGGGGAAAACCCGACCTTTGAGAGGGTCTCACACCCTTAAGAGTAGGAATTTTCAAATTTTAAAACCTTATTGCAAAACTACATGTTGAGACAAATCTTTTGACACCTTAAACGTTGAAATTGGTGCACAAATAAGGGAGGAGTTGCGTTAACAAAAAACGGCTTCACGTATTATATATATAGATTGAAAAAATCTTCAAAGATGCATTTAAGACATTAATTATAGGTAAATATTAAATACGAAAATTTGAAACATGAATGCGTAATTGGCAAAAAATGAAGCTCATATCATAATCATAAACTATTATCTATATTGTATTCTATGTCGACAAAGATGAATTAGTTGTTTGGTCAAACATTTGAAAAAAGTAATTTTTTATCGTTAGAAATTACTTAATAACATTTTTTAATGGACAAATGTAAATCTGAAAGAAAAATAGTTCTTCAGCCAAACTTGAAATATAACTAGACGAAACCTGACGTTAATTCTAACTACATAAACATAAACTTCAATATTATCAAATTAATACAGGTTGAATTACAGAAAAGGTCCCAAGACATTACATAAAAGTAGATTATGATCTACTGACAACTGATGAGATATAAAAATATGAAAGTACTCCAAGTTTCCGGGCTCTAGGAAGTCCAGGAAAGTAGTTTCTCGTCCTTTGACTCGTAGTACGTGCGTGTCGTCGTACTCTGCCTGAGTTTCCTCAATTTTGCACAAATTGCAAGGACATCTAGGTTTTTTCGGGCTTCATGATTCACGGCACATTATACGTGTTGACTTTCTACGTAAATGCCTCACAAGGTCATTATGTGTGACGCAGTTAAATTTCTATCAAAATTCCAAGTGTAGTTTTTTCCAGGGCCCGGTGTTGAATTTTAATGTTATTACAGCGTCGACAAAAATCTTAGAGTCAAATCATGGCAGAGATTATTGCTAACACTAATGTATTTAAAGCATATCTGTGCTGTAGGGTGAAAACTGGTTATGGATAGTAGTTTGCTATCAGAAAACCAGCATTCAATTTAGCTAGGCGTCTCGCAAAGCTCATAATAATTCATTATGTGTAATAGTAATAAGATGAAAAATTAAAGTAATAATAATTATTGTGAAATTTGTTATCAGGATATTAGCTATTACATTTTCAGAACAGTGTTTTATAGTTACTCTCTTTTCTCGAGAATTTGAAGTTAACCATCTACTTATAGAGGGGGCTTCCTAAAAATTGTCTTCTCAAACCCCTCATGTACTGTGTCAACATTGATAATGATAATTTAATACTGATAGTCCCTACTTTTTGGCAATTTAATATTCATGAACTCATATTTAACTTTTAAATAAACTGTTGTCTTGTGTGATTGTAGTATAGCATATATTCATCCAAGTATACAATACCTAAAGTATTTGTGCGAGATATGTTACTAACCCGAGTGTTATTGTTGCAGATGCCGCTGCTCGTGTAGAGGTTGACGGCGGATGGCGGCGACCGACGGTCAGATCCTGGTGGCGGCGGCTCGCTGGGCCGAGGAAGGACACTACTTGAGAGAGTTCGTGGCCAAACATCGCCTACCAGCGGTAGTCAAGATCATCAAGGGTCAATATGGTGGGCTTGGAGTCCCTACCCTGCCCAACCCCGGGCTACAGAGCTCCGCACTCCTTGTCAGCGCTGGCAGAAGGCACAAGATCGTTGCCCAGGCCATCAAGATGAAAGAAGGCAGGAGAGTCGTAGGAGTTGGTCCTAGGATAGCCATCCCAGACACGTACCAAGGCTATTTCGAACTGCTGAGTGAGGAGGGCCGAGCAGTGAGGTGTATAGAGAGCGTGCTGGAGCTGGCGAGGCGGAGGGTGGAGGCCGGGTGTTTGGTGAGGGAACCCATCCGCGCGATCTCTGCTAGAGTAGAGAGTGACGGGTCTGTGACGGCTGATGGTGCGAGAACTGTTCCGATCGGGGAAACACTATTTCCCGCGGGCGAAGTGCAATTGGGAAACTCGAAGGGGAGATATCTGAGATGTGTTGACTCCAGGGGGGATACGGTGCTGCTCGGGCTGGAACAGAGGGGACGTTTCAGTGCGCTCGCCAAAGAAGACAACATCAGTGGTGTGCACACGGCGAAAAACCTGTTAACAAAACGGATGCCGCTTACCGTGCGGCTGGTGCACGGAACGCCTCCTAGAGGACTGAAAAGTTCGAGTCAATTCGTTCCTGAACTCAGGTTACTCTCTACGTTCGAAGAAGAACACGTGTTCGCTCTCCCATTACAAAAAGACACCGGTGCAGTAGTCGCTCTTCCTTTAGCCGCTCCTATCAAACTGCAAAAGACACGCAACGAAGATCAGTTGAAGTCTTTAAGAGAGTTTCAGAGGTTAGTGGATAAGTGTGGGAAGTTGGTCGGCGAAGTAGCGGATAGAGCGCATGTTTTGGATGGAAAACTGGGAGAGTCCAAGGCGCTGAGGCTTAGCGGTAGCAGTCACGCCATAGCCGCGACCAAATCCGGCGGATACTTCCTCAGGAGAAGCGCGTCCACAGACTCGGCAAACACTCATAGTCATTACTACAGCAACGAGAACCGAGCTCCAGCCGCGGCCGACGACTACGACGAGATCGACCAGATATACGACTACGTTCGGGGGTTCGCGCCGTTACCGAAGAGTATACGATCACCTTTCCCCGACACGCCGTCGACGCCTCACGAAGACAGGCGTAGCTGTTCACCCACCACACCCACGACCAACTACATCGTCCACCCGCTCACCGAGGAGTTGGCGAAACCGGAGCCACCACCAATCGAGACCATACCTACCAAGAAAGGGAGTTCGGGCAAGGCGGAGAAGCGGAGTAGAAAACCTAAAGAACCTATCCAAGATAAACCTCCGGTAACGTCGATGTACATCAAAAGCGGGAATACGCAACGAGGCAGAATTTTCCGACAGAAAAGTTCGTCGCCGTTGAAGGAGCATCCTCCGGTAGTGATGAAGGCGGGATCACCACTCTTCAACATCCGGTACAAGTCGCTGAGCAACCTGCAACAAGCGATGGAGATGGACGGGACCCTGGACTCGAGTCACTCTGGGGGACGAACGTCCGGGGACTCCGGAGCGGGCGTGAAGCTGCCGGAGAAGAGGTCTAGGAGGCTTAGCAGACCTCGCTCCCTCACGGACCTCGTGTGGGAGTTGAAGGGAGAGCCGGAGCGCAGGAAACCACCCAAGCCAGAGACCAGGAAGAACTCCGCGTCTCACAAAGTGGTGTCAGGCGGCCACAAGAGGATCGGAACGTTGTACCTGTAGCGAACTCAGGTGAGTTTCTAATACAATAGTTGAATATACAGATATAGAATGTAATTTACTACACAAAGTAAAGGTACTTTGTTCTGGAGATTTTACATCTCCAAACGTTTAGCACTACTTTATGCTGATTATAATAGAAGGTTTCTTTTACATTACGCTCGAAATCAGAATCCCTCCGAAAATGTACCACTCCATTTCAAATTAATCTAAAGTTCTTACATTTTACTCAAGACAAAGGGGTTTTCAAAGTAGGCATTTTAACCTTGATTAGAATCATACCTGACATTGAGAAAGGGTGATTCTTTCTCATTCCCTATGGCAACCAAAAGGTTAACTATCCCAACCTGTAGTGCGAAATGAACAAAAATCCACCATTTCGCTTGAAAATACGACAAGTACGTGTAAAACCCTATTCAAAAGGTTTGAAACATTTGTTAATAATTTTGCGAGGTAGTGACGCACTATAGGTAAAACCGTAAAACCTATACACATCCCCTGAAGAACCGATGTACAACCAAAGAGCTTTCTCACTGCAAGTGTATTAAGCCGTCAAGCCTAACAATCCCTTACTGTGTCCGTCCGTTGTCAATTAACGCAAATTCAGCGCAACCGTAGCCAATAGAAAGCGCCGAGAGGAGCAAACGTTCACGACTTGTCCGACTAAATGTCAGTTGAACAACCATACAACTGGTAATACTGCTAAAGGTCTTTAGGTGAACGTCGATGTACGTGACCAATTTATGCGACCCAAGAGAATCCTTTGATGAATATGTTTACAGAAATATGCATTAATTTTTGGTTTGCAAGTGGCATTGATGTGCGATTAGTCTATTCATGCGTGGACACCTTTCAAATAATTTTTTTTAACAAATCAGATCTATATTTTCAAACTTTTTTAATGAGCCAATTACGTTCATTCCCCTTGTAACATTTTGATGTATCAATGATTAAAAATGATGCCATTGGGTTAGAATTAAAACCCCTTTGGAAAACCAAACATCTATCTAAATTACAAACTTCCTCATAAACCGGTATCTTACTTTAGGGTTTTAAAAAGAAACGTCGAACTTTATGGTCGTCTGCAAAATATTTGGAGCCGGTATTGCACGAGAGACCACTTTCGTCGGACACATCTCAGTCCTTGCTTCAATATACATTTTTACAGATTCGTAACCAGAACCATACATACAATACGAAGATTAGGCCTAGTAACTATGTTGCCCTATATCACAGTATATTAAATGATAAAAAATACAAAGAATGGTGAAAACTTATTTTGGGACCTTGGTCATAGCATTGCATTCGTCGATCTTGATGCCGCACCTTAAGCAAAATCAGTTTTATGCCCTGTTATACACATATAGGCCATCCAAATTAACCATTTTTACCATCTATTAGGCTAATGAGTTATACAAGATATACTCTTTGCGATGGCCAAAAAAGAGCAACACAACCTTTATACTCCACCAGAAGGCACTACGAGACCGAAGAGGCAGGATGGTTCTTTGCGACCATTACTGCAAGAGCAGGATGCGTTTGCTTGCCATTATTATAATGTAGACCACTAAACCCGCGGTTTAAACCCAGCAGCTCCTTGGAAGTACATTAGGGTCGTTGCCTGCAGTCAAGGCTGATTGGAACAGCCCGTTATCTATTGACCTTCTGATGCGTTTATTGTATCAATTCAATTGGGAGATGTGTCTAGTCATGTTGGCCAAATTGTTTCCTCCCGTTTGTATCTTCCGGTTCGCAGACAGTTTCTATTGACGCTGAATGTGGCCTGACAAGACTTTTTATTGATGATTCCAAAGAATGGAAGATAGTGTTCTTATGTACACATTGTAAGGATAACTCTGTTGACTAGGTGGTGGTAAAGACAGTTCATTTCGGGGTGTATAATATTGAATTCTGAAACCTTTTTAGTTTTTAATGGCCTAAAACTTGAAGGGATTTTGTTTTAAACAATCAGCACACCAAGTATCCAGAAAATTAATAGAATCTTTTTTGTCATTGAAAATGACAACAAATGTATTATTTTCTATTTATGGTGAATCTGGGCTGAAAAGATTTTCTCAGTTAAGATTTCTAAGAAGTCGAATATTTGTGTACAGATAGTAGTTATACCAGGCAAGGTATTGTTAATATTGTGTGATATTCGATCTACACAGTTCCTTTGGTAGTAAACCAATTGGGGTTCTGAAAATTAATCAAATACTTCTTAGGTTTTTTAAAACTCTACAGAGGCTTGTGTAATATCAAAACCCCAACTGTCCTACATAATAGAATTCCATGTTAGCAATGGAAAACTAAGCAGCATAAATCGTAAAGTTACAGTGACCACTGTACAAATGTTTTGCTAGCCAAAAAGATTTCTTTAGACTAACGTCAGTTCGAACAGCTTTCTCGTTATCTGCTCGGACGCCTCTCAGGTCGGAAGCTCTTGTTGCTGGTTAGGTGTGGAGGGGGGGGGGGTTCGAGGGTTCAAATCGTGATCATTGTTCACGACCTGTTACGACTCCAGACCACGTATCTCAAGACCCGCTGCACCAATGACATCTCGAACTGTTCCCATCTGCTTCTCTGAACATCGACATCTTCTGGTTGTCCTTGCACTTGTTACCCGTTACCCGCTCCTTCAGGTAACCAGTGTTTTTGCCATCTTCATCTTATGTTTCTATCTTTTCGCATCTGCTTCTCTCATCCTGCTTCTGTAAACATCGGGATCTTCTGGTTCTGGCACTTGTTGCACGTTACCCGATCCTTCACGTAACCAGTGTTTTTTGTCATCTTAACCTTATGTTTATATCTTTTCCATCTGCTTCTCTCAACATTGACTTATTCTGGTTGTCTTATAACTTGTTCGTTTCTCCACTCCCTCAGTTTTCCCGTATGTTATTCATCTTCATCTTACGTTTGCATTTTTTGCTTACTACTTGACTTGTCCTTTAATGGTTGTTTAGTTTGGCATTTGAATATATTTTTCATCGTTCGTCATTGTGCCTCAATGCTTTGTTTTCTATTGTTCCTATGAAAGACTTAAGTGGAACGAATACGAAATCTAGACCTCCCTTTGTAGTGATGCCAGTTTTCATACCCATGTAGTTCATACCTGTACTCACCTAGTTCTCGTCTCTTTACGATCTATTGCGATGTAAATAGTTATTTGTTTATATGATTTTTTTAATGTTATTGCGATCAAAATGGATTCTTGATTCAACCTAAATAGATTAAATTGATCAAATTCCATAATGGATTATTACTTTTAGCAAGTTTGAGGGGGTTTTAGAGCTAACTGAGTCTGTTTTATGGCATTAGCTCTCCTAAGCTTTGAATAAGGTAGTTTTAAAGTTTTTGGATGTATTATATTTCAGGACTGATACAGTACCTATATACGATTTAGCAACCTCTTAAGAACTCAATGATAGGTGAGTGGATGTTGTGTATACCTCGGCAAAGGTTGCTATTTCGGCAATTTTAACATTTAATATTTCGGTTTTTACTTTTCCAATGGGCCAACAGAAATACGTTGTATCATTGACTATGTCTATGGTTGCATGTATATAGTCAAATTTGCCCCATCCCACATCTAAATTTCGTTTCCGTTCAATAAACGGTGGCTGAAAGCTAACGCATCAATAATTATCCATAAAATTAAAAGTCTTCACTTCTCATGGAATCATATTATTCAAAATAGTTCCAATAAATTTGACACGCAGCAAAAACTCACGTAAATATTTTAATTAACACTGGAATCCCGCTATTCTTAAGTGCCTATCTAATTCTCCGTTGGATTCAAGTCTGCAAATAACAATAAACCGTATCTTCAATTATCTTTATGGCTATTGCGACTGGTTACCGCCAGTATAAACAAATATGGCGGCTTAGGTACTTTGCGAGTAAAGATTAAACCGGCGGACGCCACCGACTCCGACTGTTCCAATGGTAAGGTCATAGTCCTAATTAAGCAGGGAAGTGTATATATAACGCGGCTTAACCATCAGACCGGTAGAAGAATGAGACCGGTTAAAGCGAGACAACTTGCTTCGCGGACAACTGGTTCCCTTCGGTCTTGACATTGTTGTGACGATATCTGAGTCAGAGAAATCCCTTGAACTGATGAACTCTTCCTTCACGTAAATAGGTAAATGGTTCTAACTATCCAGCTTTTACTGGTGATTGCCTTAGCATGAGTTTAATGGGAACCGGAGTTTTGCCAACGGGTGTCAGGTAGATGGGGGGGATGCCGTCGGCCACCTCTTGGTGCGGAGATTTGCCAACGGTGGGGGCGGGAGAAAGAGAGTGTGAGGGAGGGAGAGAGAGCGATTGTCAGGGTTGTCTACGCTTGGGGTTGACGTCCAGGGTGATCACTGCGTTCATAGGAATGCAGTCGCATTGGGAGGAAATGTATAAGATTTTTGAGCCAGGAGCACTCATGACACATCGATTCTTGGAGTGATTATTAAAGAGCATCCATCTTTCTCATAACAGGAAAACGTAGTCTACATATGTCACCCAATGAGTTGAGTATTTATCCTTGTAAACTAATGTTTTCTTATACAGTAATTTTCAACTTTTTAGTAGCATACTCAAGCATAGTAGTATACACGTGTCTTTAAGCGTCTTATTTATTAGATGCACCAAAAATGTTCTTAAACTCTTCGCCTTAAATAATAAAAATAATTCAATTTATATTTGCACCAATAAGTTCACCTAAACAAATAAATTAGCTCCAAGACGTTGCTATATTTGACAAGAGCTGTGTCTAAAATCCTGGTTTCATGCTGAGATAACACTTTTATTATTTATATAATTATTTAAGGCTTGCAGTTATATCTCACGTTTTCCCATATATTGATAACATTTTGTGTATCAAATCAAATGAAATAAAAATATATATATATGGTTTCGTTTAGTTGAGATTTATCCAATCCATTACAAATCCCACTTAGAAGGTCCTCGTAGCAGAAATCCTATCCAATATACTCAATACATAGCAATACAATTTAGCT